AATTCGAATCCACAGCTCCAGTTCAGTCAAGCAAGTGGACAAGCTCTGAGACCTGCTACAGGAGTGTACCTACACACGGAATGTGCTGCTCACGCAGACATCTGTCACGCGGCAGATCTTCTAGTGTTCTTATCAGTCAAGGGCAATGTCTGGTCTGGTACTTAGATGCAATGCGAGTCTCTGCCACTGCTTAACAGATTCCTTGTCTCTCCCTTAGACGATCTCCTTTACAGCTGTACGGTGTGATCAGTTTACTTTTTCTTTTTTTTTGGTACCAGGGATCGAACTGGGGAACTTGTGTTTGCGAGGCAGGCGGTGGAACCACTGAGTTAAATTCTCGGCACATTTTAAAAAATTTATTACAGTAAAAGACTTGCGTGACTCCTTTCAAAATCCTCCCCCTCCCTTCAAACACATTTATTCATTGTTCACTCCACTTTGTGAAGAATTCTGGAGTCCTCTTTCATGGCTTTGAGATGTGACCAGAAGTGCAGTGAATGCTCTGCCGAGTGCCGTCCAATGGCAAGACAGGTTTTAAGAACACAAACACTGTGTCCTAGTCCACCTCATTCACTGGACCTGGCACTGTGCATCTTCTGGCTCCTCCCCAAAGTAAAAATGACCACAAAAGGGAAATGTCTCGAATTAATTTGAGACATTGATGGCACAACTACAGACACTCAGAAAAGAGGACTCCAGAACTGCTTCAGAAAGTGGCAAGGACGACGAGATGAGTGTGTCAGAAGTGAGAGGGAGGGTTGTCTGGGCAGCAAATGACAATGTCTTTTGAAAGATAATTTTGCAGAGAAAATCTGTCTGGGTTGGAGGCTGTTTTCCTTGAGGGCTTGAAATACTTCACTCCAAGCTCTCCTTGACTTGAGAGTTTATGTTGAGAAGCCTGGTGTGATTCTGATGGGCTTTCCTTTATAGGTGATGTTTCTTTTCTCTCACTGCTTTTAATATTCTGTCCTTGTGTTGAATTTCTGGAATCTTGACTGTTATTATATTCCTTGGAGAAGATTTTTTTTGATCAAGGCTAACTGGGGTCCTGTATGCCTCACTTATCTGTACATCAAATTCTTCTTCCCCATTTGGGAAGTTTTCTGCCATTACTTTTGTGAACAGGTTTTTTATGTCATTCACACTATCTCCTGCTTTTTCATCGACGCTGATCAATATTCTTTGCATCATCTAGCAGCTGCTGGATTGATTTCTCAAGGTCCCTTGCTATTTTTAGGAAATCTCTCTTTTCATGATCACTAACTGCAATCCTGTCTTCTATAGCTGATATTTTGTCCTCATATTGGCTCATTCTGCTGTGTATATTTTCAATGGAGTTTTTAATCTCCTGGATATCTGTTTGAATCTGTTTCATGGGTCCCATTTCTTTCCTATGCTGGACATTCATGGGTTCCATTTGTTTCCTATGCTGGGCATTCATGGTTTCCATCGTGTACCTGAGCTCTTCCATTTTTTATCTATATCTGCTCTAGAGTCACTAAGCATGTCTTTCATTCTGGTCACCATCTCTGTACTTACCTGGGAAATTATTTCTGCTTTGATTTTTTTCTAGAGCCTCATTCAGCTGCTTCGTTACTTCTGCTGTTACCGCTTCAGAGAGTCCAGGTGAGTGGCTTTCAGACTGTTCCACCTCATTGCCCTTGGGTTTGCCTTTGGTGAGCTGAAAGTGAGGGGAGGGGTTGTATCTTGTTTAACTGTCTTCTCATTTTCTATTTTTTTAAAAGTTTGATTCCTGGGTTGATGCTTGCAAATTGCTTATGGTGAGTAGCTTTCTTGCCAGTATTCAGAACCCTTAAGAAATGACTACTTCTCACAAGTGTCTTCCAGGTGTAGTTGGCTTTTGGGTTTTGAGTCTGTTGCAGCATCCTACCTCTTCAATTTACTGGGGATGAGAAGTTTCTGCCTACTTGGTCCAGCTGCCAGTTCTTTGGCACTGGCCTGTAGGTTTTTTGTAGTTTTTTTTTTTTTTTAAGACCCTTGGGCAATCTCAGTCTTGTTATACCAGGAGAAACACCTGATTACCACAATTATGTCACCTTGGCTAAAGTGCTACAATCAACAATAACAATAGTATCAAATACAGCTTAGGAAATGACAAACTGTAGCCCTTAATATGGCAATTTTACCCTTGGGGGAGAAGATTTAAAAGGGGCTAGGGGTAAAAAACATAAATAAAAGAAGAGGAAGAGGTCAGAAATGAGGTTGGAAGACAAACTTTGGGAAACTGGTGAAGAAGACAGGTGGGAAAGAGAAAAGGAAAAAAATAAAACAAGAACAGAACAGAACAACAAGAAGAACAAGAAAAAACTAGAAACCATGTTTGAACAATCAAGAGAACACAAAACAAAACAAAACAAAACAAGAACTAAAAAGGCGGGAAAAAAAAGGAAAAGAGAAAAAACCCAAAAACGTCCAGTTCAAGGTGTGTCTCTGCTGTCATTGATAGGCAATGTGGGCAAACAGAGTCTAGAGCCAAACTGATTAATCTCAGCAAGCCAGCTGCAGCTTCATGGTGAGGCAGTGGAGAATCCCAGCCAGCTACCCCTTTTGTTCCTCTGATGTTCAGGCTGGTTTCTGGCTATGAGGCTGGAACCAGATTCCTTGAGCCTACAACAGTCTATGTGTCTCCTGCCACCTTGAACTCTACTCCCTGACCTTCTGGTGACTTGAACTCGGCACCCACACTGAGGCACTGGGAGCTACTAGATGGGAGTCCACTCATAGCTGTTCTGAGTTCCAACCTCAGTTGGTGCCTCTCCAAGATGAGTACTGGCTAATCACCCTCTCCTGGGTGAGGCCTGAACCTGGATAACTCACCGGCCACTGCAGTGTGGTGTGTCCACTGCTCCTTTCCACTGGTACGTTTTCCACAGAGGCCTCTGGGGTTGCCCGCAGTCATCACGCATCTGCAGGTTTGGCCTACTGTTCCTTCGCTGAGAGTCTAGGCTCTGGGAGAGGGTGCTGCTTGGTACCACCCTCCTTTTCATTTAAAGTCTCTCTCTTCACTCTGCCTGTAGACTTCAGTTCTCACCTCAGATCCTTCCGGGGTCCCAGGGACCCACTTCTCTCCTTCTTCTCCTCGAGCTGCTATATTCCAGTGTCAGGACACCAAATCTTGGAGAGGCTTTTTCTCTGCTGCTCACCATGCTGCCATCTTCAACAATGTCTTTTACTATAGTGATTTTAAAGATTTAACTACCCACAGTAACTTTTGATCATGCCATGCAGTTTGGCTGTCTGATGTGAATGTTCACTCAAATCCCGCACAGCATAGGCATGCGTGGCACCACAGTGCCTGGAAGCACGTTGGGAACAGGGCCTGTCCCTCACTTCTCAATGCATCCCCAGTTGCTGGTATAAAGACTGATGGACCAAAAACTTCCCAAACGCTATTGGAAACATTAAGGAACCAGACGGAACCAGAAACCTGATATCACCTACCACTGGCCACACATCACACGCTGGTCTTGCTCTTCTAGCGTCTGTGTCAGTGGTGACATCCCCTGACGTCCAGTCCTGAGCCAGTCCCGCTTTATGCCTATGACCCAGAGCAAATTCTGCTCATGGAAACACACCTTTTCCAGCTCAGAGTTTTGCTGAAGTCCCTTCTACTACTCCCGTTATTCTTTCTCATGACGTAGGAATTCTTCTTTCTTAAACGTAGTCTGAAACAATCATCTTCAGCACCATGTCCTTGTTTTTCATGCAGGATCTTGCACTTGTGAGGAAAGCCATGTCCCGTCACTGAAAGGAGCCCCCTGTGGACTGCAGAACTCCAGGGAAAGCGCACACATCTGGGCTCACAGGCAGATCAACACTCACATGGACTTGGCCCTGGCATGCCTGAGGAACTTGCTGCTATACAGACCAGAGAGGGGTGGGCAGCTTTGCAACCAGACACACAGTTAATTGCTCTCACACCTACGGGAGAGCTCTGTCCAACCCAGCCCTGTGCTAGGGACACAATGACAAGACTGGCGCGGCCTGGCCAGCCCAGAGGTCCCAGCGTCACGGGAGGGCTGGGGTCGAACTTGGGACACTGCTCTGGGGTGTCAGAAGCAGGGGTGCCATCAGGGGCCATGGTGACAGGAGGTGGGACAGACCAGAAAGCCACACTCACAGGGCCCGGCTGCCAGGCATGGTCAGAAGCTACCGAGCAGCAGCCAGGACAGTCTGTCCACCTGTCCTGTGGCGGATGGTGGTGTGTGGGTCTTCACATTCAGAGCTCTGTGCTTGGGGTGGAAGCCACACCCGGGAGGATCCGGCTGCTCAGAGAACCCGCAGAGACACTGAGTGCCAACACAGAGCTGAGGCCTCCGTCCTGCTCAGCTGCCTCTGTCTTCTGTTTGCAGACGATGCTTTTCCCACTTCTTGGGACATCTTTAATCTTAGAAATCGGAGGAGAGCTTAGAGACACCTCACATCAGGGTCTTGCCATAAACAGAAACCAATGCATGTTTACAGTACGCATTACTATAATTATTAAAAACAGCATAAAGGCAAGAGCGGTCATATGCTCAAGTGACACCCACCACTAAGATGACGGACATGGGGAGGGGAACACTACACCGCCATCTGTGTTTCTGAAACACAACCCCTGACCTCTGTACACACATCACAACGCAGGAAACCCTGCCACGACCCTTTTCACTTCTGCCACAGAACTCAGAGTGAAGGTGAGGGATTCCCACCCCTGTCCTCAAGGACACTCGCATGTGAGTGCAGAGGCAGAGGCTGGCCTGAGTCCCGCCTAGAAGCCAGCAGAGCTGCCCACAGTGCCACGTGTGCTCACTTGTTGGCATCAGACAGGGAGAGGGTTTCCTGTCCTGTGAACTCAAATACAAACCTCAAGTACACATGAAGAGGGTGCGGGGTGTGAGAGGCAGTGAGAGAGACAGAGACAGAGGTGAACGAGGGACAAGAACCCCGTCAGACCCGCCGTGCACTGCCGGCCTGAGCGAGCAGTGCTGCAGACTCACCTAGCTGGCTCCGGCGGACCTCCTCGGCTGAGACAGGCCGCAGCTTCCTTTCAGCCTTGATCTCCTCTAAGATTCTCTCATGGAGGCTGCGTGGTCGTGGAGGGGTGGGCTTCAGTTTTCTGGCTGACACCTTGAAGAGAGCACAGTGGCCAAGACGTGAGCATTTGTTCTTCAACAGCCAGCACTGCGAGCTGCACTTCACTGACACTTCCACGTCACAAGCAGCAAAGTCTCTGGGTGACAGGGGTTCCAGTGACCAGGCTCGTGTCTACTAGCACTGCGGGCCGCAGGTTCACTGCAGCCACCTTCAAGGCCTCCATGCTGCGCGACAGGGTCCCCCGCGTGCACACGATACTCAGCTACTGCTACTTGTGAACTGGGGATTGTGGGAAATGTGCTGCAGCCTTCTCAGAAGACGGTTACGCTTCTCCTCACTCTCTGCTTGAGGAAAGAAAGGGCTGAGAAGGCAGATTAACCTGCTAAGAGGCCCTACCAGACCTGCCTTCTTAGAGCCAGAGCAGGCTGGCTTCTTCCTTTCTTTCAAAGCATTTATAAACTGGTTATTAGTTTTGCTTTGGATGTACAAAAACGGAAACAGCAGTCCTTTTCTTGTTACTTTATGTACAAAGGTTTGGTGAGAGGTGGCTGTTAAGTGTGTGTGTGTAAAGAACAGGGGAAGTGGCCAGGCATGTGACACACACCTGTCACCCCAGAGCTCTGGGAAGCTGAGGCAGGAGGGTGGCAAGTTCAAGGCCAGCGGGGCAACTTAGCAAGACCCTTCCCCCCAAAAAAGAAAAACAGTCTGGGGATGTAGCTCGGAGAAGCTGGCTTTGAGCCCCCAAGTCCATGATCTCTAGCAGGGGCGGGCATAGAGTAGGTGGGCTCACTGTCACTGCACCGTGAGGGCTGAAGGGGTCCAGCCCAAGCGCCAGGGTGCCGTGCCCAGCTGTTGCTCTGGGGCTGCCCAGCCGGACTGCAAGCCGACCTACCCTGGTTGGCCAGGGTACAGATGCCCTGAGACCACCCTGGACTGGATAATCTCGAGTCTTTTCTGACCTAATGATGTAGCGCACAGGTGGGCTTGATGGTCCGTGGAAAAGGGAGCACAGCCCGAGCCCTAGAGGACAATGCGTCACACCACGTACCGGATTGAGAGGCGGCCGGGACCGGATGAAGTCCAGGATGATTTCGTGGGCACTCTTCCTCAGCCGAGGGGGAATGTCACCATTCACCTAGGGGACACAAAGGCAGGTGGGTCTCACGACTTTGGAGTACCTCAGCTGTCCTCTCTGTGGTCACAGAATGCATGCGGTGTCATCTCGTTCCACCAAGGACGTGGAGAAGAAGAGCGAAAACAGCTGTGGATTAAAGAAAATTCGAGTTCAGTGCAGTTCCATCGTTCTGGGGAATTCTACACAACACATTCCTTCCAACAAAAAATGCCCTACGTTGAGACGGGGAGTGGAATAAATAACCCGCATTTACCAAGTGTTTCATAACGGACAAGGCCCTCATGCCCAGCTTCCATCCTTGTGAAACGGAAGATGCAAGTGATAAGGGGCTGGCAGGGCTGGCTCTTCCTGGCTCTCCAGAGTGCAGTGTGAGCAGAGGATAGTGACTGTGCAGCCCTGCCTGCTCTGCTTCTGCTCTGATGTCCTCTCCTCTTACAGCCATGTGTTAAAAGAATTTTTTTAGAAACACAAAAAAATACCCAGAAAGCCACAAAAAGCCCCTGCCTACCTGCTGCCACCCACGCAGCACAGTCGTGGCCGGGGACAGATTTGTGTCCGGGTCCAGCTTGAGCAAAGCAGAGCAGAACTGCGGCCGCCGGCGGCCAGGTGCCCTGCTCATGGGCAGGAGGGACGCCGCCCACGCCAGCCAGCACCTGACGCTGTTGCTCTGCAGCAGCTGGACCAACACAGAGCTGAGGCTGAGGCTGGTGCCACCACCGGCGCAAGACTGAAGGTCCCTCTGCACAGCGCAGTGCAGTCTCACCTCCTATCACGGACAGGCCCCTCGGCTGCCCTGAGCACCGTCACTCTAACATCCCCACATCCCCACAGGGCTGAGCGTGCATGGGGAGAGGGCTGAGCTCCACACAGGCTGAGTGCCCAGCCCCAGCAGGAGCGGGAGTGGGGAAGGAGGTGCCTCACACAGCAGGGCACTGCGGGCGCACTGGGATCTGAGGTAGGCGGCTCCCACGAGGGCTGTGGACGCACAGCAGCCCGGCGGTGACAGAAACTCCAGAGCAGCCTGGATAGGCAAGACAGGAACACACAAGCGCATTCCCTCTTCTCTGAATATTTTAAAACAGTGCCCTGAATTCCACCTTGTTTCTAAATAACACTTTTTAGGTAGCTAGATTTAAAGTTAAACAAATAAAAGGAAACTTAGTAACAGATCTGCAAACACATGAGTCTGAGAGACAACCATGTCGCTTACCAGGACAGAGATTATTCAATTACCTAACTTGTTGTGTAGTTGGAAGCAAATTAACCAAATTTTCTGCCAACTTTTATTTGAATTTAAAAATCTGTGGCTTACAATAAATACAACTATAACTAAAAGATGTATGTTTCGGGCCGGGGATTTAGCTCAGTGGTTCCACCACCTGTCTCAAAAGCACAAGGACCCAAGTTCGATCACCACCCCCCCCCC